CCCAGGCAAGAAGTGAGGAGTGATTGGTCTAGCCACCTGTCTGCTCTTCTTATCTGATGGATTTCTTCATAATTAAAGTATAACTTGGGTGGTACAGAGCATTCACAGCTTGACTACTTGTGTGACTTAGCAATGGTGTTTTAGTGTGATGTTAAAATCTTGGGGGGAGGGGCAGCTAGGTGGCACAGTGGATGGAGCTCTGGCCTTGGAGTCAGCAGGACCTGAGTTCAAATCTGGACTCAGCCACTCGACACTTACTAGCTGTGTGACCCTGGGCAAGTCCCCTAACCTCGACTGCCTCACCAAAAAAACCAAACAAACAAAAAACCTTGGGAGGGGGTGTCCCCTTTCTTCCTCCTCCACTCCCCTTACTCCACAGTATCTTCCCACTCAGTCTCGGATTCAACTCTCTACCTCCCTCTCCAGAGGCTCAAAGGAGAAGGTGGACCATGGACTCACTGCTCCAACCAGCACCTACCTTCCCCTGGTTGTGCTTCCTTTCCTGAGCAGGGGATCAAGCATCAGCCTTGAGTGGGTGTGTCCAGTTTTGGAGTTGTCTTCCTGAGTTCAAGAAGTCTGGAGGTCCTTTCTGGGTACAGTGAGTGAAGATGGCCAGCAGCAGAAGCTTCTGCATAGCATAGGACAGCCACTGACAAAAGGATGAGCCCAAACCTAACTGTGTTAGCAGCAGACAGTACAGAGTCAAGGTGAAGTGCAAAATGCCTGATCAGCCGTCATACCTCCTGCTTTCTGTTTCAATGAGTTCTAAGTTAAGTTAGTGAATCCTGTTTTAAGTTTGTTTTGGTTAAATGCAAGTTTGTGAAGATTCTGTGTTTAGCATTCCTTCTAGGTGTAGGAAATACAATTATCCCTTCCACATTGCAACTTTCTCCATTGGGGTTTCAACATATCATAGGTCGGCATAAGAAATTAAACGGGAATCTTTTCAGAGTTTTGCAGGGGCCGTAGACGACATGTGAAGGCTAGTCGATGAGGAACTGAGACAGACAAGGTTAAGTGAACCAGATTTGAACTCAGGAAGATGAGTCTTCTATCCGCTGCTCCACCTGGCTGCCCCCCTAATGGGCATTCCCCACCGAGAAAGGGTGGGAAGCTCAAAACTTTGCTTTCCCCTAGCTGGAGCCAGCAAAACAAGCAACTGGTCTCCAGAGCAAAGTCAGCATTCATCGTTTTTTCTCCAGGGACTCATCTGCATATGATTCCTAAACAAGTATGGGAGCTAAACTAATTATCCTAACACCAGATGCAGTACTCATTGAGGGAAAGGGCTTTTGAGCCAGGAAAAAATAATGTGAAATATCCCTTTCATCCACCCATCCATCCATCTATCCACCCACCCACCCATCAATCCATCCATCCATCCATCCATCCATCCATCTATCCATTTTCCCTACACTGGTTGAAGTTATCAAATCCTTCTGGAAAATGAGAATCAGTGGAAAACTTTGGCAAAATATCCTGGAAATTTTCTTGACTGGAGATGACAAACAGTCTCAGGGCTGACCCTTTGAGGGGTTCAAAGGAAAGCTTCTGCCTGAATAGCCAGCCCATTGAAGGGACACTTCATGCTGAGGTTGAGCGATTTGCCCAATCTAGCCTGGTGAGAGCTTGGGTGCTCGTTGTGAAGACATTCTGTCTCTATTCAGAAAGAGGAAGGACATCTGAGGCTCAGCAGAGCTGGAGCTGTGGGTTACCTTGGTCATGTGGGTTCTCTACATGTACGTCCCAATACTACTGTACTTTGAGTTAGCATGAACCCCTCCCCCCCGGCTCTGGATGTTTTCATGAGAGAATATGCCCTGGTTTGGGGAAAGATGCTTTGTAACCCTTATTATTCATGTTAACCATCAATTATTAATTAATATTACTAAAAATCAATATCAATTAATTATTCATATTAATGAATGGTATTAATATAATCACCAATTAATTATTAATATTAACTAACATTATTATTCTTTCTAGGTCCTTTGAGGAAATGCCTTTGCTAAAGAACTCAATTAGGTGTGGTGAGATATACCTGTAATCCTTGGTGCTACATCACTTGAGCTACAGTAGGGCTAAACCTAATTAGATGAGTCCACATAGCCTCCAGGAGCTAGGAGAGCCACCAGGCTTCCTAAGAAGGGGCAAACTGGCCCAAGTTGGAAACTGAGCAAGTCAAAGCTTTCCGTGCCAGTCAGGAATGGGATAGGTACCATGAGCATTTCCAGTCAGGGTGAGACAGGGAGACCCAATCTCAAAACAACACAAACACTTACTGTGTCTACTGCCTGTTAATCATTGTTAAAGGGAAGCACACTGGTGGGGGCTCATGAGTTAGTGTTTAGAAGCATGGCTACACAAGACCATCTAGTCAAGCCCCCCTCACTTTACAGATGAGAAAACCGAGGCTCAGGTGAAATGACTTCCTAAGGCTGGTAGTAGGCAGCATTTGAACCCTGCAGTCAGTGCTTATTCAGGCTCATCCAGGCCTGCCTTCAGACAAACAAATGATTTCTGTCTTTAGACTCAGTAAGGCAGGGAAGAGGAGAGAGATTCTAGGGAAGAGAGTTAATGATGAAGAAGGGTGGGAGCTGGGAGGAAGGAAGTGAGCCCAGAAAAGAGAAGGGAAAGGTGAGAACAGGAGTGAGGAAGAAGAGACGGCATTTCCCCTAGACAGTTCAGTGTGGTCCCAGCAGGCCTCTGGCCGTTTACTGTACTTGGAACCAGCTGGAGCCTCCATAATCGGCTTATCCGATGGATTCTCCTTGTGCTGATTAGGCAGGGTCATGGAATGTCAGGGCTGCCTGAGGCCAGAGAGGTCACTTGAGTCCAATTCTATTAGAATACGAGCCTCTTGAAGGCAGTTTTTTTCCTTTCTTTGTATCCTCATGGCTTAGCGTAGTGCCTGCTATTCGAGCAAGTGCTCAAATGCTTGGTCATCCACTAATTCACCGGGGTGACCTTTGTAAAATGACCTATTCCCTGAATTTGGAGCAGTAAAGCTTGGAGTGTTCGCCATTAAAAATGGTGGTGAAAAGATTTTAAGGTCTAGGATTCCACAGATGGATGTGAATGTAGATACTGTTAGTCCAAGTTCGTTTATTTTTTAAAATCTAGAGTTGGCCCTGACCCTCCTCACCAAGCACATAAAGCGAAGGCACGCTCCCCAAGCACGCTCGGGTGGAAATGCCTGGTCTTGGAGTAAGGAGGTCTGGACCCTCATGCTGATAGGTGGAAACCACTCTCCCACCCTGAACTCTCCTTGAACTTCCCCACATGGTCAAGTCTCTGGTGTTTGCCTGAGGCATCGACCTATCTCAACTGACCTTTCATTGTACCCTACACCCAAACCTCCAATTCTCTGTTACCTCTAACCCTAGCCCAGCCCTTCATTGTCTGTAACCTCCAGATTACCCCAGCCACTTCCCACTCTTAATTCCACTTAGACTCCTTCATGAGGCCAGGTCCTGGGCACCTGGCTCTTCCAGGTACCTCCCAGTCACCCCAGCCTACTATCCACCCCCATCCAAGATCCTCCCACACATCTTTTTCCTATAAAAAGAGTTAGTCTCATCTACCAAAGCGCGGATTTTGAGAATCATGCCCGCCTTGAACAGTGTTCTAATATACTCTGTCTTTGGCTAAAAGAAGGCTTGGGTTGAATTCATTCGAGGCAGGACCTACATCACTATTTTGGGGTCCCAACACCCCTAAACCTCAACAACGCCATCCCAGGGTGAGCTTGTACCCTTGTACTCTCTGCCCCAGCTAGCTCCTCTCAGGTTGTGAGGGGGCAGGTCAGATCTTCAAGACCAAAGAAGTTTCCTCACTGAGGAGTTCCTTCCACTGAAGAAATCAAAGATCACACACCCCAAAAGCCTCAGCGACAAAGGGGCAGAGCCTCGCACCCAGTGCCCAGAGCTGTGATTTCACTGGTGGAGGGAAAACTTCATCTACTGTTCTGCACCAGGGATGGCTTGTTGTCTTGGGAGATAGACCCCTGGGCTTGGAACTACGAAGCCTGCCCAAAGGCACCTTGGTCTCCTCATCTGGACTTAGTGGCTGAGAAACCTATGATTCTATGAACTTTGAGTCTTGGAGAGTTGCCTGGGATACCAAGACAGTAAGTGACTTGCCTAGGGTCACATGGTCAGCCTGGATCAGAGGTAGGACTAGAACCCAGGTTTTCCTGACTCTGAGGTCAGCTGTCTCAATGCTGTGTCCTAGTACTTTAGGACCTGGATTTGAATCCCATTAGTACCTGAGTAACCTTGGGCAAGTTACTTTCTCTCTTTGGTCCTCAGTTTCCCCATCTGTAAAATGAGAGGTTTGGCTTCTAAGGTCCCTTCCTGCTCTACAACCTCCGAGGTCCTTTTGTCTCCTAATCTATGGTCTCAGTTTCTCCCTTCCTGGTCAGATCTAAGTGATAGTTCAGCCTGCAGCTGGCTTCCATCCCTGTATCTTGCCCCATGATGGCCATTTAGCTACTCCAAATGTCTCATGTTTTGGGGCAGCTCCAACAGCCCAGGCCCTCTCCAGGTGGTCAACGTGACACAAATTCACCTGTTTGGTTTTTTGTTGTTGTTGTTGTTGTTGTTTTGGGTTTTTTTTATTAATTTATTTTGGTTTATCAATAATCACTTCCATATGCTTTTGAGTTTAGAATTTTTCTCCCCCTTTCTCCCCACCACCCTCCCCAAGACGGCGCACAATCTGATATAGGCTATACGTATACGTTCATATTAAACGTATTTTCACATTAGTGATGTTGTATGTAGAAATTAAAACCAATAGGAGGAACCATCAGAAAGAGGAAACAAAACTCAACAGAAGAGAAAAAAAATAACAATTCGGCTTCCATAGTTCTTTCTTTGGATGTGTATAGCATTTTACGTCACAAGGCCTCTGGAGATGTCTTAGATCCTTGTATTGCCGGGAAGGGTTAAGTGTATCAATATTAGTCATCACACAAATTCACCTGTTTTTTAGTCACTATTCAAACTTTATTTATTTGAGCAGTGGGGGAGGGGAAAGTTCACGACGATACAAACTACGTCTTTCCTTTGTCTTGGCTCTCCTGCTTCCTGTGCTGGCCTGGACGGCAGCGTGTGCCATTGAGGGGTCTGGAGGAAGACCCTTGGTGACTTTGGGCAAATCACTCAACTTGATATTATTGAATATCAGTGATCTTTACTGGATTCCTTGGGCTTCTTGGGTGGCTGGCTGGTTAGTTTCAGGGTGTTCATGTTCACTGAACTTTCTTGTGGACCTGGATGATACGCAAACCGCCCCTCTCAAATTAGCACTTTCTGAGCCCTCTAAGTGGTTTAATCTATAAACTGACTTAGTTTACCTAGAGAGCCAGTTTAACGAGGTATGCCTCCTAAAGGGATAGATGAGATTATGACTCCACGTAACTAAGTTTGTTTCACTTTTACAACACTGAAGGAAATATGGGGCCTTAGCTCTTGCTCTGTAAAATGAGGTGGTTGGACTAAATGAGCTTTCAGGTGAATTAGATCTGGAGCTACACTCCTATGAACTACATTCTCTGCACTAACACCACTCAGTCGTCATTCCATTCAGTCATCAGTCGCTCGTGCTTCTTTATCTTTCTTTTCTTCTTCATGATCAGCCACGTCTTTCAGATTTTGACGAGCGAACTCCTCAAAGACCAGATCTTCACCCATTGAGCTGAAATAAAAGACAGACAAACATCTGGATCATCACACAATTTTTGAAGTAATGGCCAAGGTCTTGTTAGGAACCTATGGTCGCTGTTTGCCCTCCATGTAACACCCTGACTTTCTTCTGGCTCCAGGTTCTTTACCTCATGGACCTCTTTGGCAGTCTAGTGAAGTTTATGGATCCTTTCTCAGAATAATTTTTTTAAAAAAATCACACTTGAAGGAAGTGCTAAATTTTAGTTAGAGGTTTGTGAAAAAAAAAAAAGATGTAATTTTTTTCCCATCTGAGTTCACAGACCCCCAGAAATCTGATGGCTTCTCCTACCTTGGGGATATAAGCGGTAACATTGCTTGCTCCAGGTTGCCCTCTCATGTCACGTTTCTCAATGTTTTGATTTTTAAAATATTCTTGAATTTGAGTGAAAAAAGAGAAATGTCTCTTTTCCTCAGTGCCAGGTCTATTGTGAGCGCCCTTACATTTGTTCTTGAAAAGTCTAAGGACCATGAGAGAGGATGGATGGATGGGCTGTCCCTGTAGAATATGGAGGAAACTCAGAGACCCACAGGGCACGTACATTCATGCACACACACACACACACACACACTTACATGTACACACACAACACAACACACACCTATGAGCTGGAACTGGAGGAGAATGGAGCAGGAGATGGAGGTGTGTGTGAACAAAGGTTTGTGTGTACCTGGGCCTTGCCATCCATCCCACCCCTGCACCCTTAGGGATTCTGCACCTTTTCCTCTGCACTAACATTGAACTTTCTCCTATTTGTTGTCTCTTCCACTTAGAGTGTGAGCTTCCCAAGAGGAAGGACTGTCTCAAGTTTTTCTGTTTGCATCATCCCCAGTGCTGAGAACATCAGAAGAACCCAAGAAGTGCTTTTTCATGGATTCCTTCACTCATTTACTCATGCATTCCAATAAAATCCTTAGCAGGACTGGAAGGGGTCTCAGAGGACATCTAGTCTAACCAGGACTGAACCAACATCTCTTCTATGAGATCCTCAACAAGGGACTTGCAGACCCCTTGTGAGGGGCCACTTGCTAACTCCCCAGGCAGCTGTCCCCATTTTGGGCAGCTCCCATTGTTCTGATGCCTGGCCGAAATGTCCTTCCTGGCCTTCCCTCCTCGGCTCCTGGTCTTGTTCTCTGGGGCCAGGCAGAACAGGGCTAATCCCTCCCTCCTTCCCTGAATAACCTGTCAGGACCCCAGAGGACGGGGTTAAAGGGTCTTACCTTTCCTTGGCTGTCAGCCGAGAGCAGGGAAAGGAGAGAAGAAAGCCATTAGTGAGCAGCAGGAAGGCATGCATTTGCTTCTTTCTTTCTGACCCTCCGTACTATGACTGTCATCTTGCCTGACCCGCGGCCCTGTCCCTGCTTTTCCTTGTGACAGAGCAAAATGAGGAAGCAAAGCCAGCTCATTCAGAGGCAGGGCCTCTCCCTCTCATGGGGACATTGGAGAATGAGCAGGTCTGAGGGCACTGTCCTTTCAAACATCTTGTGGTAAGAGGCACGAGAGGCAGGGGCTGCACGAATCAATGAATGGGGTGTGCGTCTAGCCTCCGTGGCTTTTCCTACCTGGAAGGCTTTTCTACCTTCTTACTTTTACAGATTTTACAGAATTTTATTTTTCATTGAGTTTTAATGATCATCCACAAGCATGAACATTTCTGTGCAGGAAAAAGAACCAAAAAGAAAATTTTCAATGAGACAGGGGGGAGCTTTGGTCATGGATAGTTTGCTTTAACGCCACCTTCCTTTCTCTTAGTCGTGGTCCATTAGCAAATCACCCACACTTCACCCACCACCTCCAATGCTCCTTCTAGCCTAGGACCCCTAGGATTGAATCTGCACGTGTCAAAAGTTATAAGGCCATGGTCTCCCTGATGGGTTGCTCAAACTGCATTGGAGGTGAAGGGACCTCAAAGATCATCGAGTCAGATTTCCTCATTTTACAGAAGAAGAAACTGAGGCCCTGAGAAATTCAGGTATTTGCTGAGGTTCACACAGCTGGCAAGTGTAAGAGGCAGAATTTAAACTCAGCTTCCTGACTCCAAGCACAGCACCCTATCCACTGAGAAAATTTGTCACACTACAATTGAGTTCCCAATGCCTACAGAATGAGGCGCCTCCTCTGACATCATTTCACCCAATGTCGCAGGGATATGCTTGCTCATATGCTTCCCCTCCCCCCCAAATTGTTAGCCCAGCTGTGGACCTTTATGCCTTTTGTAGCTCCCCAAACATTTGGTCCAGTGTTTGTACAAAGTAGGTGTTCACTTAATGCCTCATAAACTAAAGCATCCGTTTCAGATTATTTATACTGACTGGGCATTTTAAGAGTCTGCATGTTAAAAAGTCCAAAAGTATGGGAAGATAGGTTTTAATAGAATTTGTTTCCATTTTCACACACTTTATAATGAATAACCCTCAGCACCACATCTGAGAGGTGCTGTTGGAGACACCATGAAATTTGTGTTGATGTGTGTTAGAAATAGCTGTATTATTTAGTCGTTATTTATGACTATGTCTTGCCAAACACACAGTAATAAAACACTTCTGTGGACACCCACAGTGTTATATACTTGGCTTACATCACAGCATTCCCTCTGCCTCTTTACCCTGTTCAACTCTCATCCATATCTTCCCATAAGTTCACCAGAAGGAGTCCACCCAATGTATTGGAGTCCTTCCATGGGTTTTCCTCACATCATAAAGATGCCAACGGAACAACCAGTGGTCGGTGATACTGGTGAAATTTGGCAACCATGACGAGCACATAATGACAATGTTTTTTGCGTGATGGGACTTGGGAAGAGCCCCATGCGGGGAACTGACCAACTGATGAATAGTCAGAGTTCCACGAATGAACCAAAGGCCAACCTTTTGATGCTAAAGTCCAGAACTCTGGGCCCGACTCCAGTTTTATGAAGACTTTATTTAGAAGGTTTGGAAGGCTTCTGGCTATCCCATGGTTCTTAAAGATGGTATGTAGATGATATAAGAACAAATGAATCAAAAACAGATGAATGGCATTCTCTCCCCCCAAAACATATGACCGCGACAATTGCATTTGGCAAAGCACCCAGTGGGTGAGAATGAACACAAAATTATTTTTAAAAGTTTTTAAAAGTTATGAATTCCAAAGTAACTCTGGGTGGCCTGTTCATCATTAAATGCAAATTCCCACATTAGGGTAGCAGCTAGGCTGAGAAACCACTTAGAAAGCCATGGAAAACCAAAAGCTACTTGTTAAGTTATCATCACTTCAAATATACTTTTGCTGACCTAGTAAATGTTATTTGTATTGTGTAGGCTGGGGCAACTTGACCTTTTCTGTGACACGGACCCTTTGGGTAGTCTGGTGAAGCCCATGGACTCCTTCTCAGAATTATGTTTTTCAATGCAGACTTGCAAGAAACATGTAGGATTGCAAAGTAACCAATTAAATTGAAATATAGTTATCAAATTTTTAAGAAAGTTCTCAGACCCCAGGTTAAGGGTGAGGAGGAAGAAAGGCAAGAAGAAAGAAAGAAAGAAAGAAAGAAAGAAAGAAAGAAAGAAAGAAAGAAAGAAAGAAAGAAAGAAAGAAAGAAAGAAAGAA